ACCACATACTCTTTACTGGGCAAAGGGCAGGGAGAGTGGGTGCCCATCAGGGATAAAATGTACACTTACTGCAATATTCCTTACAAASAGCAGAACAAATGGTATTTGATGCCTCTTTGCAGTTATGTAATATAAAGGGCAGATTTTACAACATTAACCTTGTTAAACCAAAAAAAAAAAAGGATTTTTACTCTTTCAGCCGAGTTCTCCTTTCAGCTGTGCTATTTAGATTTTACTGGGAAAGAAAACAGAGTGCACATGGCAGAAAGACAAGGTAGAAAATCAACAGACTTTGCAGAGCATAGCAAGTGAGTGCTGTTAAATTCTCCTGCACCCCACAGCAAATTCCACAATTTATTATTTACATAGAGTGTTACAGTGGGCCTGAGGAACATTATTGATAAAATTTTTTATCTCCTAGTCACAAACCCAAGCGGTCAGAAGTAAACAAGAAAGAAAAACATAAGAAACTGACAAAGTGCTTAGAGAAGGAGCAATTTAAAAATACCTGCATTTACATGCTTAACTAAAAATACCACTTTGTGCATTAACAAATTCTGATTATAGAAATGGGTTTGACAGGCCCTGCTACACCTGGAAACACACACAGCCTCTCATACCAGCAGTAAATGAAATAGCCCTTTGAAAAAAAGGGAATACGACTRTTTGAAGTGCTATTTAGAGACAAAAAAAAAAAAAATCAGCATTAGGTCTGTAACACTAACTACATGCAGTCCAGACCCTGACAAGGTTAGAGGAAGAATACTCAGCATAAAGTGTCCTTAATCTTCAGCCAGGAGTTTGCTCCAGCCCATTCTTTAACCCCTCTCTCACCTTGCATTAGATGGCAAGTCCAGATTACAGGCAGAAAGGGGAACAGGAAAGCAAATAAATTTGATGTGAAACTATCTAAATTTTTAAATGTAGCTGCACAATGTTGCTCATAAATTTAGAATMTTAAAAAATACCTGGGACCTACAGTGATGACCACAAGATATGTGGTATTTTACATGGCTCTGCAACTCGTCACTYGGCATCTTCTAGCCTGGATTTGAAAGCAGAAAAGCATGATCCTTGAGGATAAAACYTGGGCCTTCCTGTGGCTACTCCAACAGCTTGGATCCAAATTCTGCTTGAAGAAAGTGAGTGCAGCACTACAAAGGTTTGTTGAGCAGGCAGAATTTAAGATTCAAGGCAGTTTAAATCATTCATTATTTAAGATAATGGAAAAGTTCTCAAGTGCCAAGCTGATGAAATATCTACCAATTAGCAGAATTAGTACTTGAAATAGAAGCAACAGTGCAAAATGGAAACCAGGAATGCTTCAAATAGATTTTGGAAAGGAATTTGCTAGAGGAGAGGGTCATATCCATGGAAATTTATCAAACTAACCCCAGTGTGGACATACTAATAATGGAATTAAAAAAAAAACGAGTTTCTTTCCTGTCCTCCCTCCTGATTTAAGCTTCTCCCACTCCTTTCCAAAATGGTCTGATCCAAGTAAAATGCATGCATCCTCGTTACTTTAGTGCTAAACTTTCTTCAGCAAAGGATTTGAGCCTATTGCAAGAGAAACAACAATTGTGCCTTTTTTTTTACATATCAACTCAACACAGCTCACACTAGATGCTCATATCATCACAGATGACTACTAAGTCATTCCTCTCTCATTTATGCCAACTTAGCAAATACATACTGTACCTTGCATCAGATATTCAATAAACACATATTTTCATGAAGTTATTGGGATTAAAGCATGAGAAAGATGTATATGTCTCACTCAAGCTTGTGTAMTATGTCATAGAAATTCCTACAGTACTTGTCAAACAATGGAGAATTGTAGCACAGAAAGCTCTGAATAACAGCCAAAAAAAAAAAGGGAAAGCTACCTTGAACAGAAAGTAAATTAACACAAACTGGTGGTGYTTTTTTCTCAATGTCTTTAAAGCCACTAAGTTTACACTAGTGTAATAATCCATTTGTGGAAGAAATACYCCTTCCATTCTTAACTACTTTGTGGGTATCTGTGATGAGTCTCATGGTGCACAGTTACCCTGGATCAGATAAAACCAATGAAGGAACTGAAACGTATTTTCTCTCAAATCTCCATAAAGAGTTGATTTCCCAGAAGGTTGTAAGAGACAAACAAACTGAAAATTCAACCATCAAACAAACCAGTCTTCTTATCTGAAGGAAACATGAGAAACAGCCTAAATAGATGGGATGTGGTCAGTAGCAGACTACAGTTAAAACTACAGCATGCAGTACTTGCTCTAAACCTACATCTGAGGTAGAATAATTTATATAGGAAGTGGGAGTGAATAGGATAACACAAAGCTGAAAATTTGGTTGGTGTTCAAGCCACAGTATTTGTGCTCTGCACTACTGCAATGAGCAGAAAATCATTGTTTGCCACAAGTAAGACCAAATGCTCTTAACCAGAGTTAAGATGCTGGCACAAGAGTTACTTGTCAGAATTGTACAGGGTGAGAAAGTGAGTAGAGCTAAAATTACAAGTTTCCTGCGTAAGGAGCAACACGTGACAAGCATACTGGCCACCACTCAGACAGTGAACAGCACAGAGACTGTCCCCAACAGGCAAGTGGACCAGTACTGCTCTGATAAGCAAATGCACAYAGTAAAAGGCTACACTTCCATGGGATGACTAATGGGATCCTTACAGTAGGGTAAGGAAAGAGATAAGCATGTAGCCACAGAAATCCTACAACAGAAATGTTAAGCATTTACAACAGCATGTACTACAAACACACACAGACTCTCTGTCTAAATGCACACACACCCACTCTCTATCTCGTCCAAACTTAGCACTGAGGGAAAACAACTTGCACTTTTAAAAGTCTGTGTTACTGAGCAAAAGAGTAACTCAAAACAGAAGGTTTAATAAGAAATATATTATTTATTTCCAAGTTTTAACACTTAGAGAAATGAGGACTCAAACGCCACATCTGAAGAMAGACAGCATTTGGGGAAAATAAGAATCTTAAACAACCCTCCCRAGGGCCCTTGACCCAGGGTGAACATGAGCAATGCACCTCATGGACAATGTTGGGGTTCACACTCTAACACGTTGGAGAAAGGAAGCTGCATGCAGACTCTTGACTGCAGGTCTCCAGTGTCCTGSAGAAGCAGAGGTTTCCAGAGGACAATCTCATTCACCATGTACAGAGAATGCTATGCTCTCTATTATCCTTCCACTTTATTTCAGGCATTCAGATACACATACAAGGAACAACATATATTGCAAAGAGCTGCAGAAAAGTAAATCCAGAATTATCCTTTTCACAGAGGAAGACATTTTGTACTTTATGATCCAAACACCACAAGCTTTCTATGGAACTGGAARTTTCTAACATAGGGAGTCTCCTTGTAACCACATGCCCTGGAAATTGTGCCTCAACATTTACATGCACATCCTTTGTCCATTTTTTKARTATTTTGACCCAAGATGTGGCACTCCATAAGAGCTTGTTAGAAATCAAGAATCCTAAGAAGAAAGCCATTTCTTTTTTCTAGATTGGTAACAAAACTATGAAGACTATGCTGATACCTAATGTTTTTCCAGTTGCTTCTCCCCTGCTTCATTGGGATTTTGAAGCAAGCACCTGTTACCTCTCAGTTCACAACATTTGGGATAATCCATTCTTAATCCACTGACATTCTACTGTAATGTTTTCAATATCAACAGATGCAACAACTCTAATACACTTGCTGTATTAGTGTGCATGTGTTCAATGCACGTCTGTACAAGAGGCAGGCTGGTGCAATGGCCAAAAGCTCACTCTTGTGGGCACATTACAAAAACAAGAATCCTAGGGCAAGGACAGATTTTTTTTTTGCACAGCATTTTGATAAAAAAAACCCAAAAAACCCAAACCTGTGTGTCAATAGGACGTAATACTGCAGAACTGTAAGAATGCATGTTTTACTAGAGCAGTCCCCAAAATAAACACARCTCTTCTGAAAACACCTCACTTTCCTGAAGCCTGCTTGTACTATGAACCCTCTGGAAACAAAGCTTCATTAAAGTGGAAAAGAGCTCAGAGAACAGGAGAGAACAAGTGTGCTGGTCCTGCAGCATGAATACCAGCCCCCCAGCATGGGGAGAATGAAAACTGYCCACAGTGCTAAACTGGAGATGAACTCTTCCGCCTAATAGCTGTGGAGAAAGATTTGGACTTCAAAGCAAAATGCAAGCAAATAAACCCAACACTTCTTTTCCATGTGGAGGGCAATTGTTCTTTGGAACAGTTAAGGGATGACCGTGCTCTAATTTATAATTGTCTCTCCTCCAGTACCAGATCGTAAAGGGCTGCTGCCTGCAACAACAGAGCCTTAGCAAGAGCCTGTGTGACCTCCAGAACTAAATGATGACCATGCAACACAAAGAGTGACATAGAAGTGGGGAAAAARTAATTCCCCTCAGAAGGGAACAGGWKAGTGCCTCARCTTCAGGCACATGAACTGAACTCTTAACACAACATTCAGTTTCCATTCTGTCCAAACATGAACATTTGGATGCTCCTCCTTCCCCACCCTTCTTCCCAGCCCAACTTTCAGCATCTGTCCAAGGGAGTAGACAAAGAAACTTCAATGGGGTCTGCTGGGTATCATCAGTCACTCACAATTGCTCTRTGCAATTTTCATAGTCAGAAGCACTCTGCACTGAACAGAACAGACTAGCCAKAGGCATATGTCACAACTGAGTATCCTTGGCCTTTCTAATCCAGTGTTGGCCAGTTCTCCATGCATCAGAGAAAAGGGAAAAGGAATTYCTGCTGCTACAGTAGTGCACTTAGCTAGTTATGCATGTAAGGAACACTAAAATCCCACCCAGGGCTCCAAAACAAGTCACTGATTATAGCAATMCCAGCCACAAGACAGGGCTGTGGTTTTACCCTGGAAGGGGACGGGCACCAGACAGTGGCCGCCTTCTGTTCAGATGGTGGGAGAGACAGTGAAATGGGAAGGCAAGAACTTACCTTCACTCCATCTGACTTCTTGTTCAGCAGGCTTTTGGCAGCTGTGGAGAGAAGCAGAAACAGGTCAGATTTTGGTTTCGAGACTATCCTCTCTCTCTCGCTTCCCCCACTCCCCTCAAAAATGCACGAAACTTCAGAAGAACAACCATCCTGCTAATTCCTGTCTAGCAGCAAGAGACCTGGAAAACAGGACAAGTCACTCATCAAATCCATCCTGACAGCAGAGGGTCATCTATCCTATCATTCACTTGTTTAGGCAAAAGTACTACCACTTCCATCACCTCAAGAAGAACAAGTCTGAAATGATGATTTAGAGCTTCTCTGTCATTCCYCCACTCACACACTGTGACTCCATGCAGAAGTGTCAGCAGTTACAGGGGGAAAAGCTTAAGAAATCTGTTAGATTTTTGCCAAAGGATAAAGGCTGCACCTGTAAGTGCAGACATTCACATATCAGATGTGGGTACTGATAACACAGAAGCCTTCTAATCACTGCTTATTCACAGTTATTCTGGGGAYAGCTGGATAGCTGAAAGAAAGGGACTGAAAAAGTTAAAAGGCAGCATCCGATAACTTAAAAAAAGRGAGAGTGGCAAAAGAGAGAGGAAACTGGGCTGAATTTCTTCACTGAAAGATAAAGATGCTGTGCTCAACTTGAAAACTGGCACTACCAGTGAAACAGAGAATGATAAGCACACACACAGAGCCCACAACAAATGCCTGGCAGAAGGCATACTTGGGAGAAATGAAGGAGCTGCTCCATCTATTACAGCAAAGTGGAACACTGACAATGACACTGTCAACAGTAAGACCCCATCTACAACTTCAATAGATATAAAACATATCTTGTCTACTTATGAAGAATGTATTCAGTTGTTTCAACTTCTGTAAACAGCATGCGAGACAACTACTGTACCAACACATGCCACGGCTCTCCTAAGCAGCTGCTGGGAAGCTTCTGGGTCTGGGCACCTGGCCTGGGTTTTAGGTGCAGCAAAGATGAGGCCGAGATAAAAGGCAAGACCTAAGACAATGCTCATGTGACTGTTGAAATGTTCCATTCCCAAAGACAAGCTCACCAAGTTGTACAGAGTGCTCAGTCTCTCTGGAAGCAGCAATGTTAAGCAAAAAAGGTTTTTGCAATATTGAAGCAACTGTTCAAATTTTGTGTCAACCATATTTTCCACGCTGCCTTCCCTGCAAGACCCTACAGAGATGGATTAACTACACATTATTAGATGAGTTGGTGCAARTGACTACAGCACCTCCTCTCAACAAAGAGGTGGCACCCCATATTAGCTTACAAGATTCTTTCAACTGGATTCTTAATTCTACCCCTGAATACAAGTATAAGGCTAGATTACAATTTTGTTTTCATTCCAGTTCCCAGATACCAAGAACACTGGAAGAACCTCTCGCAAAGATTTTCTGAATGTGATGTGTCAAAACAGTGTTCTAATGTGCACACGTGAAGGTGGGCAAAGTGACCCAAGCAACTCATCTGCGCTGCAACAGTCTCTTTGTTGAGTGTACACATATTAAAGCATTGCAAGACTGCAAGACAAGTTCTAGCCACCTTCAAGGCATGGCAAAGGCTAGCTTGATTCTACATGCAAGTGAGAAGAACARTGTGACTATGGGGTCAAAAGGGGTCAAATGTTCATAACACACATGCATCAAGGCATCTCACACAACTGCTAACATAACAAGAAACTGTTATGGCCTTACAACACTTCAGAAGGAGTAAAGGATKCTGCAACTTAACAAATATGCCAAATGGGACATCCTTGAAGTGAAAAAAAACCTGCCATCAGAGAAGTGATACAGTACCACCATATGTTCTGGGAATGACCCAGAGACAARCAGGGAAGCAACATTTTTCACACTTTCTCCARTTTTCCCTCAACTTCACATTTGTCTTTGTGGACAGAAGATAGCTAAAATCATGTTCTACARCATTAAAGCAAATTCATCTGATAGTCCCTCTGTGCAGCCCAGCACTACGTTGATCCGTGTCCCTGGTGCAGCCTGCCCATCCAGCCTCCTTTCCTGGCTGTATCTCTGCATGGCACTCACTGCTCTTCTACAGGCCTGACAGCATCCCAGTACTGTAGGAAAAACTTGCTTTGTGGTGTATTTTGTTCATACATCGTACGGTGGTTTAGAAGGAGCAYTGGAGAGCCCATGAAATGCATTCACACACAAAGATGACTCAGACACCTCAGAAAAAAGGGAAGCATGCAGGTTTACCCACAGATTACCATGTGCATGTTACCAGACTGAAAGTAAAGGGGATGAAAGAGGAATTTCTGCACAAGCAACAAACAAGACTTCCTGTAACAATTATCATTTTAGAAGACAGTCAGATTAGCAAAGAGACCACAGGAGGGGGAAAGTCCAAAGGTACATGAAGATAGATGCTTTACTGTTCCTGAAATCATCTTGTACCAATGCTTTGCAGTTTTCCAAGTATGAGATACTAGTACTATTTTTTTCTATSCTTCCCATTTCTTCTATATGTTCAAGGGATTAAACTCCCTCTTCTCAGTGAGTTAAGGGTTCTTCTAGAATAAAGAAATACAAAAGAACATGCTGCTAACCCAGTAACTTGAAAGCACAATTCTGTTCCTGGCTTAACAACTGGAMACTCTCCAGTTAATCTCTGAAGAGAAACACAAAGGGCTCCCCTGCACATTCCCCTCCCTCTTCCCACATTGCTCAGTTTTGGCCTCCATAATAAACAGCATGGGCTCTGAACCATGCTCCTGGTAGAAACACAAATCCCTAATGCTGAACTCACCAACAAATACCAGACACTCTGGATGTAGCAGAGTCAAGGGGAGACTGAAGAGGAACTGAAATGCCCATTCCAAAGACAGCCATGGATAGTGCCTTCCCCACGCCTTCTCTTCCAGAGACAGCAGCTCTTCATCCAGCCTGCCCTTGGGTTTGCCCTGTCCTCAGCTGCCAAAACTCAGTTACATTTCTCACCTCAATTAAGCTTCCAGAGAGGTTTTTTTGGGAAGCAGGAAAAACCCATGAGGTTGCTTTTATTAAGTTTGATTAACTCATGATGCTAGTCTAACGGACAAGCCAGGTTCTGGTTTCTAAACACAAGCATTTATACCTGAAGAATTTTGGACTTTACTGAGACTTGATAAAATACAAATGGTATCATATCAACACAGATTTCACAATGACAAAGAGTTGCAGCTTGTCATCCTCATATTCTCAGTTCAAGAAAGTCATATTAACTATTTCTCAACTTGATKTCACTTCTGGGTTCACCACAAAGGAGCTAACAAGTCAGTGTAAAGTCACAAGAGGCACTTGGGACCATCACAAACAATGCCCATGAATGCAGTGTAACTTAGAGAATACCTATTTATTAAGAACAAACACCACAATAAAAAGTATTCACAGAGCTCTCCAGAACTTTAGAGAGAGGAACATAAAAGAAGAAGACATTATTGTAATTCATTTACATCCATTTCTGATTATAAATTAGACTCTCTGGCTACAGTGATAAACACATAAATGCAGTAATGAAATCCATCTCACTCTGGGAAGTTGCAAATGTAAGTTATTTACTGAAATCCACTACTTGAGCAGGTCCACACTGTAGTAGTTGAGCATCATTCACTAAAACCCCTTACCCACTTGTAAGCTGTGCATAAAAATCAACTTATGGAGAAAAGCCACTTCTCAGCATTTTGTGAAGATGGCTGCTCCTAAGGAGAAAACCAATTTTTTTCCCACCCTTTTATAGCAAGCTTATTTAGAGAGTTTTATCTATAAAAATTCAGGCATCCCTAAAATATTGCAGRAATCTCTGAAAACCTTGCAACTCTCTCCTAATAATAATTTTATATTTACTTCTCAGAAGATGATATAGGAGTTTCTTGCATATGATCTAATCAGTTGATTTACCTGACTGCACTTCTGTATTCTGYAAGTAAATGCAGATCAGATCAGTGTTGGCTTGGATCATCTGAACGTCAGAAGCTGCAAGTGAGCAGCCAAGTAATCCTGTATATASCCTGGTGTGGACCAAACAATCCCACAGCAAAATTTAGATCACATTGTTCTCACTTGAAGCTGAATTAGCACCTACCAGAGCGTGGAGAGAAGCTACAAATCCCTTATTATAACCTGGTTTCAACTTCCTGACTTACACTGAAAGGAGTGCAACTGTACATGCTTCTAAATAGCCAGCAGCTGGCCTGAGATGCAATCTTCTAAAAAGAACCACAAACAGCCAATATTAAATGGTTGAATATATCATAACTGAGGAAAGGAACCAGATATCCTTTAATATACTGTCCTGGGGCAAAAGGCACATAGCAAGCAACAAATTACTCACAAAAGAACAGAAACTTTTTTTTTTTTTTGATGGGCTATAAAGAGAGAGAGTACTGCTACAGATTCTTTAGGAAGAAAATTTGTCACAGGCCTACACAGTGAAGGAACTCCATTTCACAAAATGTGACACAGGCGATAGTAATGACAACAAGATTAAAGGAGTCTGCTCATATTTCCTGCAGATAGTACAATCATGCCTAATTAATTAATACTGGGGTCACATGAGCCTCCATTTTCCTCTTTGTTCAAAACATCTGCGAAAGAAGCTTTTAGGAGATCTCATCCCCAGACAGGAAGAAGCTTCTCTCTTCATAAATCTAGTTCCCTGTCTGCTGGGAATGGGACTTCTAAAAGCCCACAAAATAATGTCACCCAATTAGAGAAAATAAAAACCCCTTAAGGGCTTTAGAGAAAGAAACAAGTATTATTGCAGAACTCTTCAAGGGCAATTAGATGCTTGTCATGATGAGAAAAAGTCTGTTCTCAACCCAAAGTTCCTGCATGAACATTTTAAGTTACTACTTTCAGTTAGCATGCATTTATTCTTTAATTCCAGCAGATGTATCTACTTCAACTGCAGCAACTAGAAAATCTAAGTAAATTAAAAAATAATTACAATTTTTAAAAAGTCAAGCTCATATTACGCACAGCCCTGCAAAGAAAATAGGGAGTGGATGATCTCACCACTTTAAAAACACAGAAAAATGTAAGAAATTGCTGCTTTYCACAGAAGCTTTGCATGTAAATTCACAACATCTCTCTCTGGACAGTTTTTCTGAGTGTCTCATACTTGGAATCAGTTTATATTCAAAGCAGAACTCAGTGACACTGCAAACCCTGCACTCACTATGGGCCACCTAGGATTTCCTTTTTTTCAGCTGTTAACTGAAGTGGATCCAGCAGCTTCAGCCCTTGAGACAGAGAAGAATGAGTAGAGCAAGCTGCTTCCTCCTCAGTACTAGCTCAGGGATTAAGTGGATGTATAGGTCACACACCATTAAGGAGAACCCTTCTCTCTGGCATTTCATGTACTYGGAATCTGAGCCACAGGAGATTTTCTTACCCAAGCACTTCTGCAGCTTCATTAGAAGTGACAACATTTGTGGAACTAAAAATTAATCTAAAACTTCTGTTTATAAAGAAAAGAATAAAACCCCTGTGTATTTCAGAATTGTCAATTAAGTGAAATAAAAATGAGCTGTGTAAAYAGAACAAAAACGGTTCATACCAGCAGAAGGCCCAAGATAATGTTTAGTTTTGTAGGAGTGTGGAAGTCTGGTCACTGTGTCATAGCTCCTCAAATAGTTATTTTGAATCAATCTCAGAAAAAAAAAAGAATATAATTTATAMTTTTTATTGTAAGAAGTATATAATYTTTAAGTCCTGTAATAGYCCAATCCTGGGACAGATGAATTGATAAAATCATTCTGCCCCTTTAAGGCCAAACAATGAGAAATACAGTAAAAGGAAATTGCTGTAGCCACAAGTAATGATGACATATTGGCATAGGTTTACCTGAAAGAAAGAACCAAGACTAAAATGCTCGGATGTTGCTGAGAATTTTCCCTTAATTGTAGCATGGCTTCATTGAATATATTTTTTACATCACCATTTTAATCAGAAGATGAAAAATGCTGCCTTAATTTCACAGAAGAATGCATGAATGTGCACTTTGTATGTTGGGATGATCATTTCAAAGAGGTTTTCTTTACAAGTTTAYTGTAACAATACCAGAATATAAGTATTGGTATCCACCATTAGTAAATGGCCAGATGAAATTAATACACTTCCACTTCATTCATCATCACATAATTCATATAACAGACTTCTACTTGAAAGCAGCTGTAGTCAGGTGCAATAAAAATCTGACTCATGCATTCAGTGACTGCTCTTTTAAAAGAGAAAGAAAATTACAAAGAGYGTAAAGAAAACAAAGAATCCCATAAACCAAAAGCACTTACAAATAGAGGTTTTCCACTCAAATGGAAATGAACACAGCTAAGACTGCATCACCTAGGTGTGCCGAGCCAAGACAATAATCTTCCAAAAAGCATAGATTTACATGTTGAGATTTGCATTTTCAGTAAATGCACTACGTAATGCAGTTGGGTGGGAGCCAGACTACCAGCTATTAAATTTAAAAGGATGAAAACCACTTCTGAGACTCCAAGAAGGAAAACTAATAGCTAGATACTTCAGGCCCATTTTTGATGAGTCAAAGTAATACAATACCCAAAGAGTTCCTGTCCCTATTCTCACCAACATTACTTCCCTGTCCCTACTTCAGGGCTAAAGAAAACACTCCTACCTAATAAGAGCTCTTCATTCCTGATTTATGATGGGAAAGCTAATGATACAAGCTAGAATTTATCACAAGTGATTTGCTAACAAAATGTCATTAGATGATTATGGAAACTGATTTTATTTCTGTTTTGTACCAGACTAYAATACCATGTGCTCCTCCCAAAACGAATCATTTCCTATTTCACACTGGTCACCAGTGGAGGTAAAGTGATCACCACTATACCATGATGAACTGAAAGCRTGTTTCCCTGCCTCCTACTCAACCCCAAAATGGTTGAAATATTCACCAACTCACTCACATAAAGCAAAAGCAAGGAAGGGATGAGAACATTGAGAACTTACCTGAAAAATTCCGAGACACAAGCATCGTCGTGAGGATTGCACCCTGTTGGGAAGAGAAAGCAGGGATAACAGAAAGTGCCACTTGAGAAAGGGTTGGGCTGACCCACAGAGAACACAAAGCATCAGACACCAATGCAGAGGTGAACCAGTGCTGCCCAGAAGAACCCTAGTGTATCCAGGATTCCCGTGTGTGGCTGTTGGGCCTGACACAGGACCACCTACAGTCCTGCYTTTCTAGAATCAGCTACATGCCAGGCAGGATAGCCTAGGAAATCTGAAATGGCACTAAGAATTACACTTTAACACATAACTGCTTTTTAGCTTTCAAACAGCAGAGAGCTGCTTTGTGCACTGGCCAAAGGCTTTGCCCCAGCTGCAGGCAGCTGGTAACACCAGTACTGCAAGGTGCAGAGTGTTTGGAACTAAAAGTCCTACAACTGACTGTTCTATTTCAACTTGCTGGCAGAAAGCAGAAAGGGTGAATATGTAGCAGAACAAGCATGGGAAACTTAAAGCTTGAAGAAAGAAACTACTCAGCTCCTCAATACACTGCTTCAGTGCCCTGTACTGGAGGATCACATAAAGTACTTCTGTAACACTCAGCTAGTCATGAAGAAAAGTATTGCTGCTAGGAAGGCACTAACCTCAAATTCAGAGAACTAAAAGTAAATTTAAGACAGATTAAGATGTACTTACCTTTAGCTTCCTTCTAGCATTGAACTTTCTCAAACATTCCACAGTCTCCTGCCTGTGCATCATGGATGCCACAGTGGATCGTTGCTGAAAAACAAAAACAGCAGAAGGTCAAGAACATACCCAWACCAAATCAGCCAGAGAAGTTCATTGCACTTGCACACAATCAAGACATTCAAGCTGACATGACCAAGCCTCTCACCACTGCATGGTTGCAAAACACTGCAACTTGTTCACAACTTGAGAACTTCCATCAAGACATGTTAAATTAAGGTGGGCTACTTCTTTTTTTTTTTTTAATTTGAAATATTTGAAATATTCAGGGTCCTTCAAGTCTTCTCAGCATGTCCATTCAAGCTAAACCACAAATGAATCTGTAATAAGGGGAATACTTACACAGACCCATGGGTGTTTGAGAGCCTGGTCAGCTGTGATACGCTTTGCTGGGTTTATCGTCAGCATCTGGTTGATCAAATTCTTGGCTTCAGGAGTCACAGTGTCCCACTCAGGTGATGGGAACTAAAAGAGGAAGGAAGAACAGATGATGAACTGAATAGGAATATCCTCTACTAGCAGAAGAGATTCTCCCCTGCTACACAGCTGAATTCCAGCCTTTGCCCTTTTAATACCAGGGCTAATCCATTTGCAAAAAGCACTAATTTTTGTGAAAACCCTTACAGAACAAAAATCATCCAGAATCCAGCAAATGAATGGTACCAGACAGCAGGACACACCTGTACCATTCACCAGACATAAGCAAGAAGATCAAGAGTCTTAAAGTTTAGGAATCACTCAGACCTTTGAATTTCTTTCAYACTCAACAATCAAAAAAGTAAAGTCGCAGATCTTTTAAAATGATGAGTTTACATGAAAAACTCACGGCACTGTCTTTTTTTTACCCCACCTGTTTCTTTCTCCAGCATGCTAAAAGATGTAACAGCTTATGGAAAATCACAAACAGTTAAATACAGCAAAACTGTATGAAAGCAAAACCCACTAACAGAGAACATCCCATCAGGTACACTTTTCCCACCATAAAAGAGCATCCTGGAACAATACTGTCACTTAAGTGTAGCAACCCACCAGCAAGYTGTTAGCAACCACCTACCATACCAAGATCATTACCTGGGGAGCAAGAGAGATATAACAGTGCATGGGAATACAGAAGCATGAAAACAAAGAAAATAATTTCAAGTACTTCAGTTGCTGATCATCCATGAAGGGTAACTGCTTTCTGCTATAATGCCAGTAATGATAATGATATTTACACCCTCGCTCAGATGCTTCTATGTGGTAAGATGACAGCATGCTGAGATTAAATCCTGTGAATCTACTGTTCAAATACGGGTGAGCTTCAGAACACAAATATGCTGTTGGGGTAAAGCTCCCTGTCTTTAATTGGGAGAAAAAAAAAAAGATTTATCCTGAAAACATATTCTTTCGATACTTCATTATTTTAAAAAAGTTTATCCCATCTCTCTTTCTCCTGCTTTTTTATAGTTTTACTCAGTTGGGTCATAAAAATACACCTGCCGTATTTGATTTGCATATAATCTTACTTCTGCATCTACAGGCATCAGTAAGGCACTATACAATTTGTTCTGCAAACATTGCAAGAGGCTACTCAAAAATCATGATACTGAGGTTTCAAGCCAGGAAACCTTCCATGCACCTGAACTCTGAAGTATTCATGGTAATGTCTTGCAAAACCCCTACCCAACAGCACAAAGTTTAAAAAAAAAATAAATTCACTGCTGCCACTTCCTCTCTGCTCAAGGGAGTACAACAGACTGGTCGTGTGCATACAGGCCCCTTAGTGCTGGGTAAGGACACCACGGGCTGCTGCATCAGTAAAACTTAAGCAGCTTTCYACCAGGCAAAATGAGGGAAGAATCTACTGAAATTTGTTCACTACAGATAAGAATTCAAAAAACAATTGATAGATAAGGAGAGATCAGGCACTTCACTCCTCATGAGTTACAGATGGAGTTAGGTATCTAACCCCTGAAGTGCTTTGAAAATCCCCGTTGATATAATTGGTGCAAAAATGCCTCAAATAAGAACAAGCAGCACAAAAACTAGAGGGGCAGCAAGGCAAGAGAAGAACATAAGTCCATTTAAGACWATCAAGTACAAAGACATCACTTTGCTTTCACTCAGAAAGCCACTGAGCCAGGACACAGGCAGACCTTTGTTTTCACCAGGACAGCTGCTCTCATGGTCTCAAGCACTGAAGTTGGGAGACAACCAGCAGAAGGAGTCCAGCAGAACCCTCACCCTTTGGGGTTTTATTTTTGTTTAATACRAATGACAGGACAGCCTACAAAATGAACTCCCCAAATTCCTCTTGGTATTCATACCCAAGGCTTCAAGCTATGATTTCCAGGAGCTGTTTCTTCCCTCTCAAGCCTCTCCTTACATGGAAGAATTTATGTCAAACATTAAAGTTGTGGTACCAAAACCACACTTTATACCAACTTTGCCTCTTTCAGTACTAACCTCCTTGCTACTCCTCTTTCAGRCACTTTTTACACATCGGTTTTGCCATACTCTAAGAACTGTTCCATGAGCTGCTTTGGCTTTTTACCAGAGCCTCCAACCAACCATGCTGATCCCCACCACCAAGCCACCCCTCCAATGGGCCCCACCATTCAGTCATCCCACTGGGCTCCATGCTTTCCATGGACTATGGCACAAAGACCATAATTTAAGATATTATTCTACAGACTACATGCCCATACTTTTCATTAGGCCTTGATAAAGACAAGCTCCTTCATTCTACCTTCCCTCTGCTCCACTGAAAACATTAGCATTGCTTATCCTGCAACACTTTGAGGTAAATTACTAGAAGACACCATTTCCCACCCTCTGCATTTCCCTAATGAATGTCAACATCCTAGTRTCCACTGTGATGCTTTCCACATATCCCTGCAGTAGCCCCAAACAGGATTGTATCYCAGGCAGTGAAGACAACGAGGTGTATGAGCACATCAAACATCAYTTTGCACAGAAGCTTGGGGCCTGCTGCTGGACACCAGGTAAGAKAGTGCCATGTTTTGGATGGCTTCTACACCCATGCAGGTACTCAGCAAGAAAGTGCCCTTACGTCATAGGCTCCGGCTTTGATCTGCTGATAGAGTTTGTGCTGATCTTCATCCCAAAAGGGAGGGTACCCCACTAGTAATATGTACAGAATCACTCCTGGGAGGGAGAGACACAGATACACTATGGTTAGGCTAATATGCCAATTATTTCTTTAGCCCCTCTTCCTTCCCTCTTGACAGTCCCCAAGGCAATGATTGCTCCATATCTTCCTTTGCCATCATATTTAGCCTTCTGAAATAGAAAAGCACAATCAAACCTGTGTCTGCTGAACCTCACCCTGGCACCTCTGCTCACCTCTTAACTCCAGCTGCCAGGAGCTAGAACAAGCTGCATGTCCTTCTACCCTCCTCTGGCTACCATGGCTAGTGAGTCACAACACCCAGCTGCTCTCAGAGTAAGATGAAGCCACATTTCCTAGGGTTCCTGGGCAGCAAGGGATGTTTTAGGAAGGACTCTGTTTTTAGATGCTTACTGTGCATGGTGTTGGGACAAAAATGACACTGACAAAGCTGACACTCCTGGCTTGCAGAGAACCATTAGTCCATGTCAGGCAACACTGACATCATAGATCTTTAAACTTATCAGTCCCAGATACATTTACACTTATTTTTTTCTTTTAAAAAATATCATCCCTTTTCAGTATTTCATCTTCTGCATAGTTAGTGTAATAGGAAATTGCTACAGATATCTAAACAATTAACTCTGCAAAGCATAGACAGTTCCTATCTCGAGTCTCAAACATCTGATAGATGGCCTGAGGAAAGGATTAGGAGCCAAAATCAAAAGAGTTCAGGCTCCAGTATTAATTCCATCTACACAAGGTGCTTATCCTCAGGTGTGCCTTCATGTCTCCACCCAGTAAGAAGGAGCACTGTGCACCCTCCCAGCAATAGGCTACAAGGAATCACTCTTTTACATGGAATGTTGTTGTATAAGCGTAAAACATTTTGACAGAATCTTACCACATGCCCATATATCCACTGGTTTTCCATAAGGATCTTTTCTTAAGACTTCAGGGGAGAGGTAGCCTGGAGTACCAGCAAAGCCTGTCAGGAAATAGATGATATGATATGAAGTACTTACAGCACCTAAGCAGAAGAGATCTTACCATATCACAAAATCCACTAGTGGTAACTAGCAAATTCCAAAACCCATCTCTCCCACCCTTCATCTTGTATTTGCTAGAGCTGCCTCTTGGTAAACCAACAAAAAGAGGCAAAAAAACCCCCCAAAATAAAGCAGAAAATCAGATGGGATCCAGTGCACAAGTAAGAGGGACCATGTAAACCAGCTGGGCACAAACTTGTATGCGAGGCCTTATATCCTTGTWACATATAATGGCTTTGAGTTTAAAAACACAAGATGCAGATGGGACACATCTGAAAGCCAAATGGTGTGGGCAGACCAGGAGAAGAAGTTGTCTTTCCACAATCTCTGCAGCACAGCAGAGTCTCAGAGCTGATGTTAAGCCTGAAAAGGTCTAATTTCTAATTATGTTTTAGCTAAACAAAGATAAGGTCAGATCCAAACATGCCTGAAGAAGGCCAGGTCAAATGCATTTCTGTAAAGTGACCAAACAAAATTCCAGATGTCTACACTTCTGAGCAGTAGGAAAGTTCAGATCAGGGTCTAAACTTAGCAGCTGCATTCATCTCTGTCGCTAGCATCTACTGTAAACKGAGAAGAAAAATACAGAAACGCACAGCCATTTTATCTATCTTTATTTATCATTTTTTTCCGGTATTGCACCTAGGCTTGTGCCCAAGACCTAGAGRCTGACATGCTTGAAAAAGAAGCAGCCAAATACACAGAAGAGTGCTGGAAGAGCTGAGAGAAAATAATCAGAAGGATGAAACTCAACAAGCCACCAGGAAAGAGGGGAGCAAAGCTGGGAAAGCTCAGTCTTACCAAACCAGGCCTGCTGCTCTCCCTGGACTTCTATGGCCAGTCCGAAGTCAGCCAGTTTGACAGCAGCACCCTTACATTTACTCGCTAGTAGTAAATTCTCAGGCTGAGGAGAAGAAAGAAAAAAGAGAGTAAGAATGAAAGACTGACATCCTTGTTAAAACCTCTTACCTAGCATTCACATCACTAACTTGCACCTGCTGGCTGAACTCAGCATGCAGCACTAAACCTGTTCAGGTGAAGACAGCAACAGTAATGAATGGCCTTGACCTAGAGTGGCAGAAAAGTGTCAGGGCTAACACAAACCCTCAGGCTCCTCTGTGGAAGCCAGAGCCTCTTCCAACCCAGTCCAAACATTACATGCCGACACCAGAGGGCACTGGCAGTACAGTTCCTGCAGCACATAAGCCAAACTTCGATTCTGCCCTCCTCAGAGAGAATAAATGGGAGGTGGGGGGAAAGAGGGGAGRGACAATGCAGTAGATACAATCTGCAGTGATGTTTCTCCCCATGAACATTAGACAGTCCCCAAGGCACTGAGAAAGTAAATATGATGCTAATAAGGGCTGCCAAATACAGTGCTGTAATGTGGGAAGGCATCATCTGGCTAGGCAGCAGTTTTCATCCCTTACAGAAAAAGCCTCAGCTTCAAATCGGYATAAGCAGAACAGCAGTGAATATTCTTGTAAACAGTTTTTTTTCAAGCTACACATTTACAGCAGTATAAAATATTTTGTCTTGCTACTATTTTGTCTTGACCTATACAAGAAACAGCCACGTCACTTCCTCCATGTGCCAGGAAAGGGAGACAGACTTTTGACCCTCACATTTCCACCTTGAGTGAATCTCACTCAAATCAYAATTTTATTGTGTTCCAGCAGAGGACTTCAGCAGAAGACTTAACACAGCTCTAGAAACTGGACTGAGAGTTGACAGCTTCCTCTGAAGCACCAGAGCAGCTAGTTACACAAGAGCACTTGAAACCCCAAATCCTTTAAGGTGATGGCTATTTTGGCTTTGCAGGAAAATCAACTTGAAGATAGGCAGGTCAAATGTGGTTTCTTATCCTATCCCCTTCTCATCATTTGTGCAATTCATATCAAGTTGATGTTTTAACTGAGCAGGATGGAAGCCTGGAAATCCAGAAACAGGAGATGGTCTCAGTTTCACAAATGTGATGAAGGTCTTTTTTGCAGCCTGCTCACCATTTTCATCCCATATTTTTACCCTTGCTGTGCCTGACAAGCACAAGATACTTTGCTCATTCATCGGTTTTAAAGTACTGAGCATGTGCCTACTTCTGCTTTGAATGACGGGAGAAAAGCTTTTYTCATCACAGTCCTTGCCACAAGCAGCATGGAAGAGGGTGAACTGGGTCTCAATACATTTGGATGCCACTGGCTCTTCACTATAAGAGAAGTAGAAAAGATTGCACTAATTAAGCTACACTAATGAGAATTCACCACTATAAACAAGACCCTAAAGGARAAGACCAATGAAATCTTCTGAAAATCCCTCCCAACTCCAGATCACATCTAGGCTTAGCTCAACTAAGAAAGAGCGACATTTAAGACAGACTTGTGCTAGCTAAGCACTATTTGTAGCTCTATTTCAGAAACAAACACCTGAAGGCTAATGGTGCTTTATCCACGTGCTTGTTTGCCAACATATGGGTTGTCTCAGGTTTCACATACTTTTTGATGAGGATGTGAATGCACTCCCTAATTTCTTACAGCYCCTATTGGCAGCTCAACATTTGACATTCTTTAATAGCATGTCAATCAAAAGGCATGCTTATGAGAGGGAGGTGCAAAAGACAAAACTTTATTTGGAGCAAGCTCTGCAATTATTACTCACTGACCCTGAAGTCCAAGCTTTTGGCTAGGAGCTAAATATTAAATAAAAAGCATAGGAACTTCCATTGCAAAAAGGAATGGTTACTCCTCAGGCCGGGATAGTATCAGTCGATCAGAGCAAGCAACAGAAAAAAGGTATTAACTGCAGCAGGGAGTGTCTAGCAGCTGATAAGTTCTAAATAAGTTGCTAGCTTTCCTACAAACAAAATTTCTGAAAGGAAACCAGATTATATTTGAACACAAGGAAGACTTCTTCTGTACTGGAAGACACTACTGATTTTCACAGACTCCCTAATTTTGGGCAGTAGTGCCTCTTGAATATTGCTTTCTTAAGAGCTGGCCTAATCAAGAGCAGTCACAGTCACAGCAGAGGAAKTTTTTCACAGTGCTGTGAATCAGGTCAGAAGTGCTGCATGGGAGTTTGCCAAAAACACAAAGGGTTCTCCACTGGATCAAAACACCAGAACACTGCCATCAAGCTTGCAATGTACTTTTACCTTGCTCTCTGAAAAATCTTTTTCTACTTTCCCCATGTACATTGTTTAACAAGCTCAAACCATACTARTAGCAGGTGTCATCCTGCATTAATTTAACTGGACTGCTGGTGACCATCACCATTCCCACTTTAGACAGAGAGGGCTCCAGGGCTCGCAGACCTTCCTGCACAAATCTCTTCATTCTGGAGTCTGCCCAGCTCCCACTACAGCTGCACAGTGTGGGAAGGGAGTTTAGGTGACTTCATTGTGCAGGCTTTGGGGCTATAAATGTGTTATAATGCGTCAAATGATTGATTCATCCAGTCTTTAACTGGCCAGCAGTTTTGGTTTTAGATTAAAAGTGCTTCTACTGATGAGAGAAGAAAGAAATGACACAGAAAATTCTTGCTGAACATCTCTGCCCTAGCGCAGTGGCATGTGTTTGGCAACACTGCAGAATAAAAATACACATGCTCTGTGCAGACAAACTCATCCTGGCAGATTGAACAAAGATTGCTCCAGGTCTCTAGAGATCTTTTCAATCACAAACTAGAAAGTGTCCTTCATAATAATGAATCCTACCCAAGTTTCTCTGGAAGCCTGCTTCATTCCAAGATTCACAACTATTCCATCCTGGAGCTGCCTCAGAGAGGTTGAGAGCTGGCAAGGYTCACAAAGACTGAAAACTTCCTTGGGAGTTCAACACACCCTCTAGAAAACTCTGAAGAAGTGAGTCTGTGCTTCAGGAACCCCTGAACCCAGTTCAAGAAAAAAAAAACAAAAAACAAACAACCAAAAAGAAAACCAATAAAAAAAAAAAAGCCCACATAAAAAACCCTGCCAGCTGGCAACACAATATTCCTGTCTTTTCTCTTCCAGTGATCCCCTGGCTGCTCTCCTCAGACTACAGCACAGAGGAAACATTACCTTCAAGTCCCTGTGCACGATATCATGCTGGTGAATGTGATTCACACTCTCCAGTATCTGATGAATACAGTGGCTGCAAGATAAAACACACAAAGTTATGCACACACATTTAACAATTCATCTCATTCCAGAACTATTTCTCTAACTTTTATATTTGTACTAGGGGGCATTCAGGACCCCAGGCTAAATCTCTTCATCATGACCAATGGATGCCMCAGCTCAGAACCATCACAGCTGAAACCCCAGCCTCTCCAGCAACAGGATGCCAAACATCCTTTCTGTAGCAGAACCACACAGAGCAAAGCCCCTCTTCTAAACTGCCATAATGTCCTTCCTTTCCCCTTTCCTTTCCTTTCCTTTCCTTTCCTTTCCTTTCCTTTCCTTTCCTTTCCTTTCCTTTCCTTTCCTTTCCTTTCCTTTCCTTTCCTTTCCTTTNCTTTCCTTTCCTTTCCTTTCCTTTCCTTTCCTTTCCTTTCCTTTCCTTTCCTTTCCTTTCCTTTCCTTTCCTTTCCTTTCCTTTCCTTTCCATCACACTAAGCCTCTCACTTGTTCCTTCAGCCAACAATGCCAACCCCACACAGAACAACCAAGGCATCAGAATATCTTCAAACAGCAGCTGAAGTTGTGCATGCAAGACATCACTCCAGGAAACATTCCACTGGGCTGGTCCTGAGCAAAGAATAAACTTTGGGAGAGCAGCAGCCTCCCCCAGCAAATTGAGGATGACGACACCTGGGCGTCTGCCAGCTTGCAAAGCTTTCAGAGCAGCATCTCAAGCACTTTATATACACAATGTGCACACACACCCGCTTGCTGGGTGCCTTTTAAGTACAGATCCCACTTAAGGGGTTAGTAATCTGAAAAGCAGACTCATTCCATTAAGTGCAGCGCGCTGTACTCCCCCAGCTCACAGCAAACTCTGTCTCTGCCACTCTCACTGCTGTAAAACCACAGGGACAAAAACAAGATGTTATTTACACCTGTCGCATAAGGACAGCACAATGGGTGAGATTCCAGGCTGGAACCATCCCTTCCACTAAACACCTACATAGCTCCCAAGGGTGAATGTGGAATGGAATAGGGAGCTTGACAACCATGACTGGGCAGTAAGTATGCGGATGTGGGCAACTCAGAGAGGTCCGTGTCCTCACTGCAGGATCTCTCAGACCGTTCACTGACTTCTACAAATCTCAGAGGAACACATTTGACATGAGTGAAATATCTGATGGAAGGGAAAAGGCTACAGGAAAAGATGGGAAGAGGGTGAGAAGAGGAAGGGGAGAGGAGGTGCAGCACTGTGTATTTGTTACCCCCATCCCTCTGGAGCTGACAGTATGATCCTSAGGGTTGGAATCCATGAAAATCTCTCTGCTCCCAAAACAAAAATGTATAATTAGAACAGAGCTGGAGTCTGAGCGAGAGAGATTTTCTGGCCAAAAATGGCAAAAGTGTGAGGTGTCCCAGGCGAGCCAAACACGGCGGATTGGCACGGACCTCRCTCCCTCGCTCTCTCAGACTGCTCTGGAATTCAGCACAGCATGGGGATTGAAAGGGAGGAGTTTTACTCTGTCATCTTGTGGGCACTTGGAGACCTGACCAGCTGACAGTCAGAGGGCTGAGCACCCTAAGGAGGGCTCACAGAGCAACAGACAGTCCTCCTTTTCCCCTAACCCTGCCATAATTTTCCTGAGCAGTGTCAGTCACTGACAGCTCTTGAGCACTTCAGGGAATAGGCACTGGCAAGAAGAACAGGGAAAGGATTATGATTGATAACCTCAAAACTTCCTAACTTAAAGGCAGAGTGGCATGGCTGTGTATCCATCTGAGATGCTGTGTCTACAGGATCTGAAAACATCTGAAAACATCTACAGGGCTCTCAGACCTCTCTGCCAGGAATTCACTGGCCTTCCCAATCACCCGATGGCTCCCAGCAGAGGATGCAAGGCAGTGCCTCATTTGAAAGCCTGCAATGCCCAGCTGACAGAGGCTGTAAGTGAACCTCAGGGAAAGCAAACAAGAGCCTGCATACTCCATCAGCAGTACCTACACCAACACCTTAGGCCTCTCTCTCCTTCCTTGCATTCAGTATTGTCTTCCTCACTGTATTGCCTACCAAGCTCAATCTGCCACAGCACCCACTACTTCCTTCTCACTCCTCTCTTCTCATGGCTCCTCCAATTCCTGCTTCAGCTAGGGTTAATATGGGATAAGAACATGACTGTGGAATAAGCAGGGTGAAATGTCACCATTGGGCCACTCCCAGGCCATGCAAAAGCAGAACAGGAGTGGCCTAATCCCGGCTTTGATTCCAGATGCTGCGTGTCCAACAGATGGACGGGTCAGACAACACCCTCAGCTACTGCTGCACRTAACAACCACCCTGTATAAACAGGGACAAGCACATGACACTTCAGGAAGCTCACAAATGGGACAGAAGGGACACAATCAAGGAAAAGAATGGCATAACTCTAAATATTTTTAGCATTAAAATATGAAGGTTGCTCTCTCATATTGTGCCTTTCGTCACTGCACTGACCAGCTGGCAGTCAAGAGAGGACTTGCACAGARACACAGCCTTCAAAGCCCCCTCCCCCCACTGGCCTGTGAACTGTTACCTAGACACAGGCAAATTGAATGGATCTGCCCAACAGCAATGGAACATCACTGCAAACCCTGCTAGAAGAAGGAGATGATCACACAGGCAGCATCCTCAYAGCCCTCACTTAAGTTTGCTCAGTAAGGATACACTGTCCCACCCACCAAAAAGGCCAGGTAGGCAAAGCCATTAGCAGTGGCTCTCCCAGCAAAGAGTTCAGCACCTGTAAGTGATAGAGACAGCAATGCCTGCARGTGAGCAAGGACTAGAGCTGCACTGAGTTAGGCTGTCTGGTGACAGTAAGTTCATACTAATAGCAGAAAGAGGATTTGTTTTAYACAGACAAGGGGCAAGAGTGTTAGAACAAAGCCACGCAGAGACCAGCAGTYGGGAAACTCATTCCATATGCACATGAAACATGCATGCAAGGATCTGGGAACAGTCTTACCTGGCATCTGCTTCACTGTAGTATTCTCTAGCAACAATATCCTCAAAGAGCTCCCCACCAGTAACCCTGGAGTGATAAAGAACAAAGAAGGTTATGGAGCCCATGTTTGTGTAGCTCAAGGCTGCACAGGATGTATATGATCACCCATCTGGGCCCTTTGCCAGAGCATGTGTGGGAAACTGCAATACTGGGAAGCAGGGCAGTGCTCCAGCACCACGGCACTAGCACTGTTACAGCCACGTGACAGACCCCTTGGACTGCCTTTTCACCAGCAGGGTACAGGACACCGCTGACGCCCTGTGCACGAACTGCCCATACGCCTCTGCTGAGCTCAGTGTATGCTGAGCTTGGGAAGGACCCAGACCTTCCTCTGACCCCCATTTGGGTGGTCTTAGAGTAAACAATCAGTCTGCATACACATGATAGTCATTCTCTGCCATCCAACACCTGGTGCCAGGAGCCTTCCTGYTCAGTCCCCACAACACAGTCAATGGACTTTTGTGAAATAGGCCAGAGGTATTTCACTTTACAGGTCTCAAAAGAGAAAGGGAGAATTATACTGATGCAGGTGCTTTTTATTCCATTCTTAGTCAACCATCAATGTGTCTGCATCACTGGTGAAGCATCAGAGACAAATACTTACAGATCAAAGACGAGGTAATGGAAACCTTCTTCTGAAATACTGTCATGGAGTCGCACTGCAAAAGCATAATCAAGAAACAGAGATTTACAGAGCATGTAGCAAATATGACACTTCACAAATCAAACTCATGCATACAACCAAGTTTTTCCTCAACCCACTCAATCTATTAATTCCCCATGGCCTTCACTCTGTGTGCTCCCTCAGTAACCTATTTCCTTCCATTATCTCAAGGGAACAGGTGGGTATCCTTTGCATACACTCACCCCTCTTCAGCGTCAAAACAAACTCCAAATATCTTTGACCTTCCATTCACTCTTCATCTCTAATGTTTCAGTACCCTGTAGTTTCACATCTACAGCTTTTTCCTGCATGATCATGTTTTCGCATCTCTCCCCATCCATTTTTATTTCCTAAAACAAACCCTTTTCAGAGTCCCAAAACAAGCCCTCAATCCAYAAATTGACTTCTGACCCTACCTGCATGTCACTGACTCTACTGTAYTGGTCTCATTTCTGCCTTTTATCTGTAAAGCTCAATGATGCTGTCCTGTGTTACTTCTTTTTCCTCACTTCATTCTGACTTACACTGCAAATCTTTACCCAAAATTCAGAACCAGTTTCTTGTCTCATTTTTCTGACCTGCTTGTTTCCAAAGACATATCTGATCACATTTTACTTCTCAAAATTTCATCCAGTTTCAGCTTCCTTACCTATCCCCACTTAATTCTACTCCTATTGCCTAAATTAACATTCATCTTTTATCTGTTCCAGGCCCACGATAGACCACCATCCCCTGACACTTTGGCATGTTACACACAGGTAATAATTATTTTATCTATGCATTCAGCACAGTCTGAAGCAAAACCTGAGACATTTCCTCCTATCTGAAACAAAACCTCAATTCCTTTGACCATTCTTGGATATCTAAGCACAATTGTAACCCAAGAGGAGAAACTGCATTTCATGCCGCTACATAAACACTACTTTTTGCTTTTCTCCTCTGCTGCAGAACRTCACTCTTTTCCCTGCCAATCAGTCACAAGCTGATAATTCTCTTTGACTCAATTCCTAAACCTTCACATCCTGACTASAATAAGATGTCTTCTTCACATGACCATCTACAGTTTTTCCCTATTGATTCAGCCAACTAAAGCAACTAGCTGAAACAAGATGGGTCTCAGTCACTTTAACACCTTGTAATTGAGTATTGACCAAAGCAACATTGACTGTTCTCATCGTTACAAGAAAAACCTCATTATCCTGCTCTGTCACTTCAATGGTACCTTTGCCTCTCTTCCATTGCCTCCCACATACAATAGAGGTGACCTGCCTTGCTTTTCCCAGCATCATGATTTTCTCTCTGCCAGTATCAAGAAGTCAGTTTGCACCTCTTATTAGGGCATGACATCAGTTCCCACCACTGTCTTGGGAATGTTTCAAACTAGCACTTGGCACACATGGAGCAGCTTCTGCACATGTTGTCAGTGCTGTTCTCTACTCCTCCTTGCAACTCTCCTTTGCTAAGACACCCTTCCACATGCATGCAAATACACTCAAACTCAGAAGAGAGTATGGCACAGATGTGCAGAGACARCTGTCAGTACCCTTCCAAAAAGGGTAGTTATTTTCTTGTTCTTTTTGCCTGTTGATTCCCATATTTTTCCTCCCTTAATCTACAAGTGCTCTGATCTKGTCCCTTGACCAGTTTCCCTTCCTTAGCATTTTTACTGCATATCTGACTGCAGGGGTTTGGGAGGAGCACTCCATCCAGGATAATGCTGCAAATGAGCCAGTACAGCATTCAGGTGCAACATGCTGTTCCTAATGTGTGAAAACAGAGACATATCACCTTGAAGAAATATGTTCTGTAAATCATTTGCTGCAAACAACATATTGTTCCAAGTATGCAGTTTTAGTTGGGTTTGTAATAACTTTATTGCCATTCATGTTTACAAGAAAATTTGCCTCCCGATTATTTGRCAGACACCAGCAGAGGCGGCATTACAAAAAGGTTTTTCCTAGGAGAGAAGATTTCCAATCAAGACTGGAAACAAGACGGAAAGCAGCTGAAAARGACACTTGGATTTCCAGTGCAGGGCAATTTTCACTTCAGTGCACAAGACTGTTTGAGGTGAAAGCAGGACACAAGCACATCAAAAAGAGCTGAGGCCCAGAACACAGGCAAAAGTCTGTGGAGAGACCTTTTGAAGAGGTGCAGAAACTTCAAGGAAAGTTGAATGTACTAAGGAGATCATGTTTGGTGATGCTCGACAGGCATGAAAAAGCATTCTTCTTCCTCTGGCACTTTAAAGGTTACCAAAGCACTGCAAGAAACACCAAACCCAGAGGAAAGTGGCATGAATGAAATCATGGYGGAGGAGGAGTAAAGCCACCAGCACGCTGAGAACAGTGGCCATGAAAAAGGAACAGCAAACATGTCTGCAGGTAGAAGTGAAAAACAGTGAACGACAAACTCTGACGCAAAGATTTGGGCAGCAAATTACATCAGAAAATAAAACACAAATGAGCTGATTGGTGCTATTTCTTTGTCCTGAGGAAAGCAATTTTGTCAGCTACATTATGAAAAAGGAAGGAAGTAGCAATTCAGCTGGCAGAGACTGGCAGAGGCAGCAAAAAGAGCCTTCAAGGACAGTAAAACACTACTTGCGTCCTTAGGTGAGGAACCATGACAGGAGGACAGAGACAGTTCATAAATACTGACATTGTGCAGYACCCCAGGGCTGCACAGCAAAAGAAGGCCTTGAAGGCAGGACACAGGTCATTAACTTAACAAGGGAGCTGTGTCCTCACAACAGCCCAGAATGATGCTGGAACAAAATCTGCCCAGGATTTAAACTGCTGAGGTAACAAAGCTCAGAGAGTAATGGTAGAACAGCAAAATCCAGAAAATCTGRAAAAATTACACTGAGCACCACCATCTTGCACAGGAATAGTTAGTGACAGCTGAGAATACTAGGCTTTAAGTGTGGAGGGGGACAGCAATGAGGGGTGTCAAAAAGGATTAAAATAAGTCTGAATATAGAGAAACTCTTGTAACGCTCAATTCCAGTCCTAACAGATGCAAAGAAACMAAAGCAATACCCAGTAGCAGAACAAAAATAAAACTAGTGTCCTTTCACCCTAAAGTTTTGCTTACCTACCCTGCTGCAGAGCCACAAGATCTTTCCTGACCAGCAAGGAGACTGCAATGGRCAGCTCTGAGGCCATGGTTCATTCCGCTGACATGCAAAGTTTAAATGCCCTGCTTTCTATCACAGTGCCATCTACCAGGGATGATTAGCTTAAAAACTAAGCTCTTTCAAAACTATTCAGCTAATGCATGAAATGGCATACATTCAGAAGTAATTGAATGATAAAAAACATTTTAGAAGTTTCTGTGCCTCCTCTCCAGTTTGATTSACAAACATGATCTACACTGTACGTGTATTTACTATGAAGATACAAAAACATCCGATACCTCCACTGTGCAGACAATACAGAGCCCTTTCTGCTTAAAGATATCCTGTGCAAGTGCTCTCCACCTGAAGGCAGGACACGGGTTCCTGAATAGCCAATTCCAAGAGCAAAACTCAAATACTAGCTGTCCTCTGTTTCAAACACCTTCCCATGAAAAGGGGAACTCATTTCTTCTACAGGCTGTTGGTCCTGACACCYTGTCTAACAGCTTCATTACCATCACAAGCTCAGCTTTAACCCAGCAGCTGAGCAGAGCCCACAAAAGCTGCTCATCTCTGTAACCTGTTGATACAACAGAGTGAAAAACGCAATCATAGAGACTGAAGGGCAAAAACCTGATCATCCATAATAAGAAAAACAGAGAAATAAAAAACAAAAGTACTCATACAGTTATGCTTTTCTTCAAAAATATTCCAGCACTTTTTTCTCTCTTCAGGGAACCAGTGATGCATGTGTCTAGCATGGCAGGATAGACAAATRCACACATCACAAAAAGGGCCTTAAGTCACAGCAAGAGGGAAGTTGCACAACAGCAACAGTGTCTTCCAAAACACAGCYAAACTAAAAAGAGACCAGTACTTGCCAAGGAACCTTATCTCACTCTATTCACCAGMTGAGGTAGATTATTTCTATTAGCTAATTCTGTTACTTGGAAGCAGCAATTCAAACCATACTTCCTTCCTTAGCCAAACACTCTTTAACACAGGGATTSTTACAGATGTAGGAAATTAGACCCTGCCAACACCACTCACAGCTGGAGTCACCTGATGACTCTTCCCATTCAAAGATCTCTGATGGATGAAAGAGCATGTACTACAATGGCTAGGTTCACAAGAACAGAGAGAGAGGGGTGTAAGAAGAAAAATAGAAGCAAGTCAGACAGCAAGGCACTAAATCAATTAAAGGATATGGTGAAAGACTTGACCCAAGGTTTTATTCAAAGCACAGAAAAAAGTCCCATCCACACACACACAAAAAAAGAGGTTTTGTAGAGTTCATAAGCACACCTAATTTTGGAAGACTGACAAGTCTTACAGACAACTTTTGAAATAATACATTAAAAACCTGAGAGCACGAATAAGCACTGCCAAAACAAATGCTATCCAAAGGAGCAGCATCAATTACAGACTGGTAGGTAGAAACTTCTCCAACAAAACCAGCTGCTCAGTCAGCAGAAAATGTGCATCGCCACTTGGACGATATCTCCAAGAAGCACATGGATTCTGGGAGGAACAAGCAGTGGTTTCARTATAGCATCTTGATGAAACAATGCTTTCAGCAAGTCATTAAAAAAGTCTATCCTTTTTCTTATATATCTCCTGACTCTGGCACCGCCATAGTACTCCACAAAGGGTGATCAATCTGCTACTTGGAATTCTCTCTCCAATTTTAAATTCACACATGTAACTGCACTTTTAAAGAGCTGTGAGGCATCACAACACACAAAGCACAACCTAGCCAACTGGTTTAAGCATCCTTTTCTTCCCTCAGTCTCCTCCTCCAGCCTTATCCTATTTAAACTGATTTTACCTGTACAGAAAGCACCTCCCRTAAAGCTGGCTGTTTGGAAAAGTAAATA